ATTCTGATCCACGCAAAAACAAAAATAATTGTTATCACCAATTAAAATACGCTCTCCCAAATTTAATCGGTGACACTTGCAATTGGACGCTTCAAACAAAATTTTATGCATATGAATATAAAGGAAAATTTGACTTTGAGGGTCAGATTATTTTTGGTTTTATTAACAACCTGCTTTAAGATTTTTCATAAAGTAGGTACAAATGACAAAGAAATTATATCTCAAATTTGGTGGTGGTTGCTACACAGCAAGGGTATCAAACAAGGGTGTGAAGATATTCGATTAGATTATAAAATTTTACTATGTAATTCGAATTTTACTATGTTTTACAACCTCCTATAGATCGGTGGGAAATGTCCTGTGACTGCTTTTGATAGGACCCCGGGGTCCTCTTTTGATATTAACTTTGTATCACTGTCATCATCATTTGTTTGTTCATTCATAGGTTCCTCAATTTTCCTTCACTACTTGTCATAAACCAATTGATACAGGTGCTCTCTACGAAACTGGTCTCAATAATGGTATGAACAAGATGCAGTTTGGCGATGAAGCATTAGTAGTGTTGATAGGACCCTGCAAACTTCATAGATAGGTTACTGCCACAGCTAAGGCTCCAAACAAATCAATGAAATTTGAATCGAATTGATTTGAACTGATTCGAATATATAATTTGATTTGAATCTATAGCAATTATTATCATTCATTAATTATATTTATTATTTAGATTTAATGAATTTATTAATGAATTATGCAACTGTAAATTGTATTCATCATTATGTTATCATTATTGTTATCAATTAATAATATTGTGATGGTGGCCAGTGTTGAAAATTCAATGTCCAGGTCATAGTTGATTCAACTAAATCAACATATGATGGTTTAAATCATATTTCCATTTTTACCAGATGGCATATGAAAGAGTTTTAAAGAGACGTTATTTCATCTTCGGCTTCATCTTCTAAAAATAAGAATGTGGCTTCTTCCTCTTCTAAGAAACTTACGCCCGATAAACAGGCTTTACCCTAATTCGAAGGAAAAACAAAACATATTAAAATGGATTGGTATTACTCGTTGTATATATAATAAATGTTTAGCAGCAGTTAATGTTGGTATAAAAATAAAATAAAAACAATATTTAAAGACACTGATCTTAGATACCATTTATGATATTAGAGATGCAGCAATCATTGACCTATAATTCAAAATATTGCAGCAAAAAAGAAAATTTTTAATTAAATTTAGATCTAAAAAACAGTTGTCAGATTGGAGAAAAGAAAGTGGACATTATTCATTCCTCAAATGTATTAAAATCAAGTGAGAAAATACCTGAAATAAAATACAACTGTTGTCTCACATGAATCATCCTGGTAAGTTCTATTTAAACCACTTGAAATTAAAGCTGATTACAAGGTCTTAAATTTTCGGTGATTGAATAGAGTAAGAGCGCTGGTATTATTTCTCTTGATGTAAAGTGAAAGAGATTCTATTCATGGAGCTTATATTTTTTATGCTTATTTGCTTTACCATCAATGCATACTCCGGATCCACAAAAAAAAAACGTAATCTTGTCATCGAAAACTTGCAGAAAACCACCCTGTTGTTTTACTTCCTGAATTTAATACGGTTTTAGAAAAATCCGATCTAAAATTGCAAGGTAAATGTTGACCTGTTCACATTTCCGCTTCCGCCAATATTTGTTCCATAAATCCCACAAAGCACCCTTGGTGCAAGGTGATCATCGACACTGAGGAATTCATTAATAAATTGTGTAGATGTTGTGGACGCATCAAACAAAACCTTGGTTAAAAGACCTTTAGATGTACAATTTGTAAATCAACCATTTATGGAGATGTAGACGGAAGAGTCTCGCGACGTTGGGCATAGATAGTAATAGACACCCTACTTTGGGATAAAATTTTAAATAAAATTGTGATACAAAATTACTAAAATTATTTTTTTTTTTTTTTTTTAAAAATTTTTTATATTAATAAACAAAACAAAACAACACAATTCATCAAACATTTAGAACGACGATGTCTTCATCCAGCACTAACTCTTCTGACGACGATAAATCTAAAGCAAAAGTCAGAATATTCATTCGTTCGCCAACAACACTAATACCTGAGGGATTTTCTGTATTAGCAAATCTTGACTCGTCGGTTCTTTTTTTGAAGCAATCAATTTTTGAGACACATCCCTCAAAGCCTAACATAAAAGACCAAAAGTTAATTTATAGAGGAAAAGTTTTAAAAGACTCGGATCTTGTTATCAATGTATTGCAAGAAGGGTTGTCAACCGATCAAACTTTCCATTTAGTTGTAAAACCCTCGTTTCAAACCATTGCCGAGACTACTGGGATGCCAATAAGACCACCTAGTTCCAACGCAGTACCTACCACTACCACTGCGACAGCTCAAAACATTCGGTTTCCTCAAAATCAAACTTTACATCCAGTTCAAAATTCTAGTATGCTTATTAATGGAAATAACCTCCAACAACCTCCAGCATACTTTTATCCTAATGTTCCTCAATATCAATACTTTGTTCCTCCTACACTAGATCCTTCACAAATTCAAGGGCAACAAAATGCAACTATATTTAATCAACAGCAAGAAGGAATGGCAGCTCAGATGCACAATCCTTTTGTTATGGGATTTCCATTACAATATTATGTTATGATAAAGTAAATGAGGTTTTATATTTTTCAAAAAATAAATCATATAGCAAGTAGTATATGATAAATTATTAAATATATAAATTTTTTAGTGGAATGCCTCATTTAATACAAATGCCATTTCCTAATCCACAACCTCAATTATACCCATATCCACAACAATATCAATTTATAAATCAACAACAAATGGGTATAGCGCCTGCACAACAACCTTTAAATGCCCCTCAACTTCATGAACAACAAGATATTGGAGCAAGAAATCAAAGGCGATTGGCCAGTTTATGGTTAATTTTAAAATTGAGCTTTTTGGTATATATTTTTTCAAATAATGCTAGTATTGAGCGAATAATTTTGTTGTGTCTTTTAGCAATGGTGATTTTCTTGTGAGTAATAATATATATACATATAGTAAGGAACTTATTTTTTGAGCTTATTGAATATAGCTTGTTTATAAAACTATAAATTACTAGATCTCAAACTGGACGATTACGGGTAGTACGGAGACGAAGACAAAGAATTGTATTCCCAATGGCTAATGAAATTATTGGTTTGTATAAATCTAATATACATATTAAATGATAAATATAAGCTAATTATTATTATAATATGTATTTAAAGCCCAACAGCAACAGCAACAACAACAGCAACTAATAGCAGCTATTCAAAATAATCATGATGTTAATCTTAGAATGAGAAATGAAAATCATGTTGGACTCGACCAATCAAATCCATCAACATCTTCAACAACTTCAAATAACGATAATAACAGTAGTCTTAAAAATGATAATGATAATGTTGAGACTAGCTCTACTAGAGCTGCTTTGTCACCATCATCACCATCATCATCAACATCATCATCACAAAATATTAACAATGTTATTAATGATACTAATAATAATACTACTAATAATGATAATATGGTGGTAAGAAATGAAGAATTGCCACCAGTACAAGAAAATAATAGACCCACAACTTTACAAGATATTGAGCATGCATTGTGGACTTTTGTAACATCTTTAATACCATCCAATCCACCTGATGTCATGCAACAAGATGATATGATGTAAAAGTTCTGCATAAAGTATTTTATAAATTTTGATAGTGTCTCTAAAATATTGATTTTTATCTTTACATGTGATCCAATTTATCATTTTATTTTTTACATTTAGAAAGTTTTGAATAATTATTTTGTTGAAGACCTATTTATTATACAAAAATATTTATTTTTCTTTATTGGTAAATCGGAAAAGAGAATAATAATAATAAATTTTTTTTTAGAATTCATTATTTATTATCTTGAGTTCTTTTTGCCTTTATTTAAAATAAAAAACATTAAAAGATTACAAAAAAAATAGTAGCAAAAATCTATTGTAAAATCTATTTAAAAGTTGATAACTAATATTAATTTATTTATAATTAATTACACCTTTTGATTAACTTTATCAGTTGTTAAATTTCTTGGCCAGAGAGGCAAGGTGAAATAAGAAGTCTCGTCAGTGAGTAGTTGAGCTAATACCATGTACCAAACAATAAAAGACGACAAAACTATATAAATAAATATAAATAAATATTAGAATAAAATTTATATAATAACACAATCAACTTATTTTTTAGATAATCACCTCCAAATCCACCACCAATACGATCAAATGTTGTATTATGTGTAAATTTACCAATACCAAGAAAAATATATGTGATGAATACAAAGAAGAGAGCACTTATCATTACAAGATTTGTCCTTAGAGCACAAATCAACATAAAAAGCGTATCTAAAAATTATCAATAAAAACAAAAACATAAAAGTATATTAATTAATTAATCAATTAAAGAAATTAAAATTTTTATTAGATTACTTACAAATTGCCCATCCGATAAGGTAAATGCCAATGGCATTATCAAGCATTTCCATGTTATCCTTGTATGCATCAGTTATACCAGAGCTTGGCAAAAAGATAAATCCAAAAGAAATCCAAAAACCACCTAATTAATATACATATCAGTTAATATTTATCAATATCGATTATTCGATCAAACAAAAATTTATCTTTACCATAAGAGCTAAATACTGTAGCACCAAAAGTATTCCCATTTTTCATTTCCCACATGCCTGCCAATAATTGAATAAATCCTCCATAGAACAATGCTAAACCAAGACCCACTTGAGGTATTTTTATGTCTAATACTTCAACTGAAAACATAGAGTAAACAAATGTAGTCATTGCAAAAGCACTTAAACCTAATGGACCAGGATTTGCAATAACATTTTTTGATCGAATTTCTTGATCTATTGGTAACATGATTTTTTTATCTTTTGATTTTTGATTAAAATCTTTTGGCCTTTCTTTTTATTAACAATTTAGCATCGTTATGTGGCGTGATAATTATGACATTTCCCGCCGATCTATACGAATTTAATGTATGGTGTTAAAATGTATTATATGCAATAGCTTAATGGATTCATATTCTGAATTAAATAAATTTTAAATTCTTCATATACTGTAGTATATTTCATATAAGTTGGCAAATAGATTATTGCTTCTAATTCATCTCTAATTTTCATAGAAGATGGTAATCCATGTAAATTTGAATACACAGTGAAACTCGATTTAGCGGATTTCGATTTAGGTTTAACGGATAAAATTTCGGAACAGAATTTTTTTATCTTGATTTAACGGATTTAGCGAATTTTTATATATTAATTATAATATATTCGGTATACCGGATATTTTTTAAACCTTTCATGTCGTACATTAACAAATTTATTTCGATATAACGGATAATGATGATCATTACTGTTTTGAAAATTTAAAAAAATAACATATGATGATAATAAAATAAACGTAACGTATGATGATTAAAAATAAATAAATTATGATTTTGTCAATATTTTTGGAAAAAATAGAAACAATAGCTTATTATTATAATTAAAAATAATTAAATGTAAAATAAAACTTATGATTTGTAAAGTTAAAATTTATGGCTTGTATAATTGATTCGTGAAAATAAAACTTATGATTTAATCAATAGGAAAATTTTTTCTTATATAAAGGGAAGGAAATATCCACCTTTGTCTATAATCAAAAAAAAAACTTTATCAATTTAAAAATAAAACAACTATACTTTTAATAATAAAGTTGAAAATATGTACTCACAAAACAGATCAGAAGAAAATTCAAACCAATCTAAAGTAATATAAATAAGATTTAAATTGTGAATAAAATGATTCATTATAATTAATCATTATTTTAAACTATGTAGAAAACAAGAAAAATACTGACCAAAGCACAAAAAAAAGAATTATGTGAAAAAAAAAAGAATAATCCAAGCATTAAAGGTGTTGAATTGGCCCATGAATTTGGAATATCTGTACAGTCTGTTTCCGATATATTGAGTCAATCTCCTCAATGGTTAGATTATGATGAAAGTTTAAATAATAACAATCTATATAGAAATAAAAAAATTGGTTATCCTGATATTGAAGAAGCAACAAGGATCTGGGTTGATCAACTTTTGGTTAGAAATTTAACATTCAGTGGCCCTATTATTCAAGAAAAGGCAAAAGAATTTGCTAATCTTTTTGGAATTAGTGATTTCAATGCTTCTATAGGATGGTTAAACAATTTTAAAAATAGAAATAATTTACATAGTTACAAAAAAAGAGGTGAATCATTGAGTGCACCCAATCATGAAATTGCTGCTATGCGCCTTCAACTTCAAGAAACCTTACAAGAATATAATCCCGAAGATATATGGAATTGTGATGAGACTGCAATATTCTGGAAACTAGAACCTAATAGGACAATTGCTCATACACCAGTTATGGGGAAAAAACGCCCTAAAGATCGTATAACTGCCATAGTGCCATAAATTATGATGATGGTAGTAATTGTATTTACGGCATATAAAAAGTGGTTGCAATTACCTTTGCAACCACTTTTACAACCATACTTTTTCCTTTTTTGGATTACGGCCCTAGTCTTTAGAGTGCACCCAATCATGAAATTGCTGCTATGCGCCTTCAACTTCAAGAAACCTTACAAGAATATAATCCCGAAGATATATGGAATTGTGATGAGACTGCAATATTCTGGAAACTAGAACCTAATAGGACAATTGCTCATACACCAGTTATGGGGAAAAAACGCCCTAAAGATCGTATAACTGCCATGCTTACTTGTAGTTTAACTGGTGAAAAACTTCCTGCACTTTTCATCCATAAATCTGAAAATCCAAAATGTTTGAGAGGTATTTCCAAAAATACACTTCCCGTGTGGTATTACTGGAATGCTAAGGCATGGATGCAAAGAAGTATTTTTAAACACTATTTAGAAAGGTTCAATAATATAATGATTCGAAAGAATAGAAAAATAATCTTGCTTTTAGATAATGCTAGTTCTCATAACACAGAAAATGTACCTACTTTATCAAATATACGAATTCATTTTTTACCTCCTAACACCACATCTATTCTACAGCCTTTAGATCAAGGAATAATCTATAGCTTAAAGGTGATTAAATAAATTTTTAATTAATGTTCACATTTAAATGAATTAATTTTCAAAATTTTTTTTTGTAGTCAAAATATAGAAAATTGCTTTGTCAAAATAGAATAAAAGCTTATGAAGAATCAGAGAATAATAATAATGAAGTACCTCAAATCAATATTTTTGATGCAATTAATTTTACTTCTAAAGCTTGGGAACAAGTAACAGTTGGAACAATTAGAAACAGTTGGGCGAAAACCATGATAGTCAATAATAATCAAAGTCCAACTGATTCAATAGTTGAAAATTCAAATAATCAATCAGAATTAAGTGAGATAAATGATTTAATCAATCAACTTCCCTTTACAAATCATCTAGATGCAAATGAATTTATTACTATTGATCAGAATCTTGCTGTTCAGGAGGAAATAACAGAACAAGAAATTGTGAGTATTGTAAGAGGACAATCAGCACATGAAGACGAAGATAACAATGATACAATGGACAAACCTGAACCGACAATCACTAGCACAGAAGCTATAAAAGGTTTGGAAACTGCACTCAAGTATGTACAACAAAAAAATTTGGAAATTGATTTCCAAATAATTAGAAATGTCAATAAATTAAAAAGGGAAATTTCTTACAAAAATTCTCAAGAAAGAGTACAAACAAGGATTGAAGAATATTATATGCTAGAATAAAAATAAATTTATTTTTTTTGTCATTTATAATATTATTATTTTATTATTTACATATATATTGTAAAATTTGTTAATTATAAATAAATAAGATTTTTATGTAACTGATGTCACATGATTTTTAATATAAAATCCACTAATTCCAAATTTCTCGTTTTTACGGATATTTCGATTTAGCGGATAAATTTCTTGGGCCAAACTTATCCGCTAAATCGAGTTTCACTGTGTACTTTTCTTTTCATAAAATTAGAGCAACCCAGGACTCAAACTCTGAATTCAGGGGAAATCCAAAACAGCAATCCAGGTTGCAGCCTCCAGAGTTGCTGAATTTTGAACCATTTGCAGGTGTCAACTTTATTCTAGTGAGTGTGGTGATAACACAAAGCAATAATCACACATCACACAAATGTCAACTCTCATCAGCAAACAATGCTCCATATGTAACATCCAGCCTGGTCTTAGAGGAGAGATAAGGAAAAGTTTTGTCCAAAGCCTTCCAACTTGTTCAAATCCTTTTCACCTGTGGAAAAAATTCCATGGTGCTGATTTGCGCTTAATTGCACTGAGTTTGCATGTTTGTGATAGGAAAATTCAATTAAATCTGACACCTGTGATCAACATCAGATTTATTATTCGTAAGGAACCATGATTGATAATCAGGAAGAATAATTTATTTTGTGAACCCCAGAGATCTGGGTAGACACGCATTATTAAAAGTTTCATTTATGCATGGCCTTGGTATCATTACTACCTGGGTGATGCAATTGTTTGTTATGTCAATGATGATATCAAATGTATTGAATAATAATCATGACCATCATGAATATTTGATGGATGGAGGCATTCACATACAAGGAAATGATTAAATAGCTAAGTCATGTTTGTTTTGTTAAAGATGTATGATTAATTATATTTAAAATATACAATAAAAAAATTGCAAGACTGCACCACTATGTCAATCAAAATATCAAGCTGTTATGTTTGTGCATGATTTAAAATTCTTTTGTGCTAATTTAGGATCCCATCTTTCCTTGCTTATACATAATCTATTGGTTCTCTTTTTGCTTGAATGATGCCAAATTGGGTAATGGGGTATCAGCAAATATCAGAATCTGAGTATTTCTTTAAAAAAATAATTTTGGTATTAGCATACCGATAAGTTAATAATATTCTTTGTATTTTTATCATATAGTCTAAAAGCCTATTAGTAAATATTGAAAGTGCCAATATTTATCAGATATTCTTTTATAATTAATCCTTTTTTTTAGTTAATTATGCTTAGTTTAATAAACCGATAACTCTTTTATATTGTATTTCTAAAGCTTTTTGTGCTAAAATAGAGCCGATTTTATTAATGTTTTTTAAATTGAAGTTTTTTTTTTTTTTTTTGAAAATATCGACTTCGGTTTAATGAGTTCTGACTGTATTATGAATAGAAACCATGCATTAATACCAAAATCAAAAAACAACAATAAACAAACAAACAAATAGCTTTTATTGCGAAATAATTAATTTTGTTCCTTTATTGAATCAATCACACAAGTAGTGGTCAATTTAAACAGCATTGTTTTTAAAGAAAATAATATTATTAAATGTATAAAGTTTAATGATTTTTAATGTTGCAAATTTTTTTGATGTCAATCTCAAAATCAATCATGTTTATATACTTTATTTCTTTTTTTGATAAATAAATAAATTTATCCTTTGTTTTTTGTTTTAGTAGATTTTGGTACACTATAGCAAAATTTCGGAGAACCCAAAGTGTATCAATTACACAAAAACATACTTTTTACTTTTAAAGTACAGCGAATTCTTGTTCCTTATATACATGTTTAATATCCCAGTCTGGGTGAATTATCACATTTGGGATTATAGCCATTAATATTAATCATTAATATTAATATTAAAAATATACGGAATGTAACACAAATACAGATATTTTTTAATAAAAAAAATAAAAATAAAAAAAAAGGTTGCTCCGGGATTAATGTTTTCAATTAACGAATTAATGTCAAATCCCATTGATTTTTTAACACATATTAATAATAAATGGATCACAGCATGTACATATGTACATATTATGATGTCCTCATTTCTTTTCCTTTTTTAAATTCATTCAAAATGAAAAGTAAAACTAAAGCTAATATTATTTTTTATTATTATTATACATATATATCTATATATCTATTTTAAATTTATAAAGTTGCCAAAAGTGTTAATCCAATTAAAACTTATTTTATTTTATTTTTTAGAAAATCTTTTTTTGCACTTTCAAATGTGTTTCGTAATAACATTGCAACAGTCATTGGTCCTACGCCACCAGGAACTGGAGTTATATAAGATGCTACTTTTGATGCACCAACAAAATCTACATCTCCTACCCATCTTACACCATATTTTTTACTAGGATCTAAATAATATATATTTTTAATAAAAAGTTTCATATATATGTTTGTGTATGTGTACTAAAATAATTGTATTTAACCTTTGATAGGATTTGTTCCAACATCAATTATTATTGCACCAGGTTTTATCCAATCACCTTTTATAAATTTCGGCTTTCCAATTGCCACAACAATAATATCTCCAGTTTTAACCTGTAATATACA